CTGTCCTTGAGGAGCTCTAGTAGTGTAGTGCCTAAGGCATTTGACTGCTAACCAGAAGGCTGGTGGTTCAAACCCACCAGCCACTCCTCAGAAGGGAGGTTGGGCAATCTACTTCTGTAGTGATACCACCTCAGAAACCCAAGGAGGGGTTGCTGTGAGTTGGGCTTGACTCGATGGCACATACCAACAACAACTCTGTCCTTGACCTTGATTTTAGGAGTTTTCCATTGTTCTACATCAGGAATCCTACTGGAGGTACTTTGACCAGGACTGTTAGCAGTCTCTGAAAGTCTGCCTGACAGGAGGCAGCTGGAATGCGCTGGGCTATTAAGCCCAAATCCTAAACTGAAAGCCAGATAAAATCAATCAAAATGGCACAAGTCATCTTTATAAAATAAAAAAAAAAAAATAAATTTAGTATGGAGGAAAGGAAGTTTCAATGACCAGAGAGTCTTCTCTTCTGGAACAGGCAGACTTTTGCTAGAACATAAGACTGTTAAGTAAAAAAGGACCTGAGATGCCCTGCCTAGTTTGCTTCCTCTGCCCGGAGACGTGCCAGAGGGCAGGGTGCATGGAATCTTATCTTTAGTGATCAGGTTATGAATGTTCTAGGTTTTTCCATCTTATAATGCTGCACATGCATATATTATTAGGATAACAGTCAGTTTTTGCAAAGAAACCTTGCAAAGAGACTGATCTCATTTCTGTGTACTTAGTTAATAGCTTTTAATCACCAACTCAACAGGCCCAAGTGACATGGCCCCTGCCCCAAATTGCTTATAATGCAAATAAAGTGTAAGATGAGCAAATGAAAGAATTCAGTTCTCTCAATACAGACAGTAGCACATGACTGAGTCAACACAGAGCAGGGACTTCCAAGGATGGAGATCCAAGCTCCTCTCCCTCAGTGCCAGTTCCATATTTTATATATCACACAGAAAAGGAAGTACTTGTCTTACTAATCTAAAACCTCTTTGCTCCAATATCACATCTTTCCTATTGTCTTGCCCTCAGTGAAGATTGGATGTCATGGGCAACTGGAACTGATCCTTTGATTCCTAACCTCTCACACTCAATTCAAGTGAAATTGTACAGAGTTGTAGGAGCTATGTAAGCACTTTTACTCTGAACGGAAGAGGTGGTTAGAAGAGCCTTCTGGCCCCACCTGAACTCAATCAATTCTTGTTTGTTTTCTGTCTTTGAGGCCATATGACGCCAATGATGCATCTTTCAATGACGGTTTCTCCAAAAGTCTCACTGTTGCTATTTGACCTGCCCACAGAGCTTGTATGTGGGACACTTGAAGCCTTTTTGTTTTCAGTCTCTCAAATGTGATCTTGTCGCTAGCATCAGGCCCTACAGTGCCTAAACATCCTGAACACTGAAACCAGGCCTGAAGAAACAAGCCTGTGTCCAAAGGCTGATATCCCACCTAATGTCAGGATCCTCCTTGCTAACTCATTGCCTTATTTTTGAATGAGGTTCATCTTTGACAGAGTGTGCCCTAATTTGAGGCCATTTGTCTTTTCACAGCAAAATTCTTCTACCTTACTGTTGAAACTATTTGAGAGGATGAATTCAAATTTTAGTCAGCTGTGTTCTGCTTCATTATTAGCTTTATTTAAGAAAGTGAGGGGAAAGAAAGAGTCTTAAGGCCTCTGCCAGAGCAGAAAAAATTGACCCCAAATGGCATTTAGCCTTGAGGTTGCACTTAGCTCATTAAAATGAAGGTCAGAATAAAAATCAAAATGTCCCTCACATTCTTATATCTACAAAGGAAAGCCATTAAAAAAATTATATATCTATATATATCTATATATCTCCCTTTTTGGTCATTTTTATTGTACCTCATTACTACTTGTTTCTATAGTAAGTAGACGTTATATATTTAAAAATTGTTTCCATAAAAGGGTGAAATGGTTTGCAAGACAGTTAAAGAAAAAGATTAGGATAATAAGGTTGACGAAAGAGCAAATACCAGGACCGATTAGCCATTTCCTGTTTTATAGGAAAAATACCTAAGAGGAGAAGGGTCAGTAAAAACTCCGCTGCTGGGCCCTTACAAACCTTGCCTGTAGAATTCTTCACACACCCTTTCACTCCATTGCTTGCTCATCTCCCAGGTTCTACAAGGATTGCAGATGTCAGCACACTTCAAGGCAATCTGAGAAATGACAGGGCAGGAAGAGATTGTCAGGCTGATCCTTCAGTAGCAAGTGCAGCGCAAGCCTAAGGGGCTATGACACTAACCAATCTGTGTGCACCGCTGCCTCATGGAAGCAGTAAAAACCAGTTGGTGTCGAGTTAACTCTGATTCATGGTGAGCCCGTTTGTGTCAAAATGAACTGTGCTCCAAAGGGTCACCAGGCCTTCTTCCAAGGCACCTCTGGGGTGGACTGCAACTTCCAGCCTTTTGGTTAGCAGCCAAGCACATTGACTCTATACCACCCAGGGACTGCCTGCCTCATGGTACAAGCCCATATTGACAGAGGGCCTCCCTGACATGCCTCTTCGGGAAACAGCACTTATTCAGTTTTTATTCAGAACTCCCTCTTATAGCAGTGAGAATGAGAGAAGAGCCACAGTCTTAGGACACAGCGCTCCCTGGAGGAGACCTGAGGTGGGCAGGCCAAGGTAAGCCATGCCTTTTGCAGGCAGGTAGGTCACAGAGATCCGAGCCAGGCTCAAGTGAGATCACTCTCATCACATTGACCTACTCACACATTGCTTAAATTATATATGTTTGCCTTTTCATGCTCATGTCTGTGTGTAAGTAAACCGAGACTGCCAGCCTGGGAGCGAACTCATATTAGTGTAGGTGTGTTTTGTTTGCAGAGCTAAATTAGGGCCTTCTGGGCTTGCGTCACACTGGTCTGGATCTGGAACGTCAGCTGTGGTCAATGACGTTGCCCTGAGCCGGGTTACCTTGAATTCTCAGAGAAGCAGATTGTCCCCCTTCACCAGCAACTGCTGAGAGATCTGGATGGGTTCCTGGTGGTACCTGTGTCCTGCTCTCTAGCATTGTCCCTTTGTTTTGACCCAGTTTCTTGGGAGCTCAGAACTACTGGCAGTGATGGGGTCTGGGAGAGCTTTGATGACATTAAGATGCAAATTTTGTTGTTTATTTTCTGATTAATGGAAGGACCATTGGTGTTGGAGGAAATAAGGGGCAGAAGTGTTTGAATTAGTAATCATTCTTTTTGAAATACAAGTGGTCAGGCTAATTTAAGGCCTTGGCTTTATCACTAAATTCAGACACCTGACCAATATTTGAAAGCACTCAGGGGCTAGAAGATTAGTCTGGGAAGAGAGAAGGAGGGAGGTGTAATTCTACAGCTCGGGGTAGAGTATTTCTTGGGAAGGAGGGAGCATTTTAGACAACTACAGAGAGCAGCATGGGGGGTGGGATGGGACAAAAAGACTGTACATCTCAGTACCATGTGAGAATCCATCTCCCTAGTGAAAGTTGGTCTATCTAGATCAGCCCAGAGTCTATCCATTCAGTCTTCTGCACCAAAAGGAAAAAAAGGAAGTCAAAAGAAAATGGAAGATCAAGAAGAAGGTTCTGGTTTGGATACTTCCACTAACAATGTCCACTCAGTCAGAGATGGCTTCTTGCCGAAAGGGTGGGCCTTGATGCAATTAAATTAAAATCATTCACTTATTGGTGCCCCAAACAGTAAAACTAGGTAGACATTCTTGGGCCTCACATGAAAATATGAGGTTAGGTAGTAAAGCAAGGTTTGATTAAATTGGTTTGAGGTAAAGGAAGGCTATTTGTTTTTCAATTTTTGTGGGAACTGTAGTTAATATAATACATTTCTGTGTTACAGAAACAATCTTTCTTTCATATAGCACAGATATCACCCTGGTCGATTCTCTACCAAGCCACAAAATGTGGTGAATACTGCATGCAACCACCCATAGGGTTACTTTGGTGAAACAGTTCCCACAAGGAAACGTGATATTATCAACTCACTGACACGGAACCCAGACTTTGCTTGCTTGAATACCACTTAAAAATGTGTTGCACAGCTTTGAAGAAAGTAGGCCACTGCTCTAACTTATACCATGGGAGACACTTCTCAATTGTGCTAAAATTATCGATCATGTCCTTCCGTGTTTTAACCCAGATGAATAATACCATCCAAATCAAACCCACCAACCTACAGTCAGTTCCGACTCATAGCGACCCTATAGGACAGAGTAGAACTGCCCCATAGGGTTTCCAAGGCTATAATCTTAATAACAGAAGCAGACTGCCTCATCTTTCTCCCCTGGAATGGCTGGTGGGTTCAAACCACCAACCTTTTGGTTAGCAGCCAAATGCTTTATCCACTATACCACCAGAGCTCCTTGCGCTTAATTGTTCTCTTTTTTTCTTTTTTTTTTACCTGAAGCATAAAGTGCCTGTCGTGTGCATCCTCTAGTCTTAAATCTTTATTGTGGAGGTGAGTTTTCAATCTGGTCAAAAATTCGTTCTGCCTGTTGATGTCTGTTGCTAAGATCAAGGAGCCCAGCTGCTGTTCAATATCCTGTCTGTATCCACAAGAATGAAAGACAAAAACACACACAAAAGCAAATCCATTTGAGAGAGTGACTGATTCTCTCCTCATCAGGTGCCGCCTTTGAGTCTGTGTATCACACAGTGTCTCATCCCCTCACAGCTCGAGTGATTCCTTTCACCCACCATCAATTGTTCTTGGACAGGAGCATGTCAAGAGAGGTGTAACTAAACCAAAAATCTGTTGCTGTCGCATTGATTCTGACTCATGCCAACCCCATGTATTATCCCAGTATTGTTTTTCCAGTTGTAGTTCATCCATTTTCATTATTATGTGTATTGTATTCCACCATGTATTGTTATGTTAAAAAAAAACAGGTAACAAAGCATGTAAGGAATGATCTCTGTGGTCACAGAAAAGAGTTTGGAATGATATATGGACAGTAGAATTACAGATGATTTTCACTTTCTTTTTTTATATTTCTTAATATTGTATGAAGTTTGAAATTTTTAAAAAACTTTTTAAAAGGTTAATTTAAATAAAAAAAGTTACTAAATTTTTATTAGAAAATATGAAGTTTTAGGTGAATATTTTATGAATCAAATCAAAAGGCAAACTAAAAACTTAATTTTACAACATGCAACAAAGAGTTACTCTAATTAATATACAAAAAATTTGTACAAATAAATAATAAGTTAAAATGAACAGGAAAATAGGAAAAGAATACAAAACTTGTTTGCAAAAAGATATAGCAATGGCCAGTAAATGTGTGAAAATATCTCATTATTATTTGTAATTAAAAGATGTACATTAAATCAGGCTCTCTTTCTCTGCACACATACATATGTGCATGTCAAATTGGCAAAAATTTTAAAAAAGATAATAGAAAACAAAGCCAAGTTTTGGTGACATTACTGGATTTTCTCATAGCTCACCACTGAGTATTCAGTTAGCTAGAGTTCTCTGAAAAAGTCATCTGATAATATATAACACGAACCTTAAAAATTCATGCACTTCTGACCCATCTTTTCTATCCGTAAATATTTTCTGAGAAACTAGAGTATTAGAGTTGGGATCAAAACATATATTTAAGAGCATTTGTTAAGTATTATTTATAATGACAAAAATTTGGAAACTATGTAAATTCCAAACAATTTTCCATTTCATTTTGTTAAATATATTTTGGTGCAATAATGTCATGTAAACATTAAACTCACTTCAGTAACATTTTTAACAGTATGGGGAAAGGCCTTTATAGCAGTGAAAACATCAGGACATAAAATATGCAAAATAAGTTCTATATTTTGTTAAAATATAGTTGTATCAAATAAAAGGCTGAAAGGAAATATATGAGCCAGATTAATATTAACTATTCTTGGATGGTAGTATCACCAGTAATTCCACTTCTTCTTTGTATTAGGTTGAATCATATGAAATTGGTAATCATCAACTATTTCTGAGACTTGATCGTAACTTCACATGGTTTAAACTGTACTTTTCTGAATTTCCTGTTTGTACAGTAAACCTGTCTTACTTTTCAAATCATAAAAATGATTTTAAAGTATTTTCATAAGGCTAGAAGGAATAACATGATTTTGATTTCAATAGATTTCATTATAAAGTCCTTTCACATATATTATTTTACAACAATTATTCTTTTAGAAAAAGTAATTTGTAAGAGTGTGTTCCACAAAGACATAAAAATCCAGTCTTTTATTTGGAGTCCATAAGGATTATTTTAGGAAGACAATACTAATTGAGCAACAAGTTAGATTGATGAGGGACAAGTCGGGTCACACTACGAGTCCTTTCATTCATTTCCCCCTTCCATTTTATTCCTTCCTAACCTCTTCTTCCTTCCCTTCCCCTCTTTACTTTCTTTAACTGTCTCTCCCACTTACCTCCTCTTTCCTCTTCTTTCTGATTTCTTGCTCTATTTTTAGTTCTTTTTGCATTTAATTCTTTCAATCTTTGCAGTTTATTGTTTTAGTAAAAGGCACAAGTTTTTATTCCATGCATGAGGACTGGTTTTATTTAGTTCCAGGGGGTAAAAAGTTATCAGAACTGAAGTTCCTCCTGCAAATTCCACATTCCTCTGGGTGCTAGGAAACAGTATGAGATCGTATCAGAGGGCCAGGAATAAACCCACAACCCAGGCATGCTGCTTGTTCTAGGGGAAGACACACTTGGCCCTTGACCTTAATGTGCCCTCGGTAAGAAGGACACAGTGATCTGTTTACTTCCTCTCACCCAGCTCCCTTGGGTTCTGCACATTTTAATTAAACAGATTGGGATTCTGATGGCTTTGAAACAGTGTAGCTGCTAACTTGGGGCCACGAGGAGAATGAAGCAGTGGCCTTGGGCTTCATAGGGTTTGGCCTAAATACTTGAGCTAACAAACAGCAGACCAGGAAGCTAGTATTTCTTCTTCCATTTAAAACATTACATAGGAAATATTTACATCATTTACATAAGTGTGTTAATGTTGAAAAAATTGTTGGAGTCAATTCAATTACTTAACAAAAGACATATTTTTGAAACTATTTTGATTTTGCTGGCAAACTTACTTTATTAGACTAGCTTTAAATCTAGCTTGAGAACTCCACTGTTCGTTCTTGACAAATATTTATTATTTGGATCCTCATGGGAGGACACTTTTGCTAACCAACATAAAGGACAGGATTTTGGCCCAGTGGAGTGTTGATGGTGAAGTGGGAAAGCTGAGAACTGTTTATTATTCCTTTTCCTGACTCTACCTCATAGACTAGTGAAGGCCCTTTCAGAGCACACAGAGAGATTCTGGTTTCTGAGTTGATGTAACCGACACCCATGTCCCTCAGATAGATGGCGAGGTGTAGGCAGGAAGCATAGCCGGCTGGCTCCCTGCCATTAACTCTGGGGTCTCAAACATGCCCTAGAGAAAGTGGCTTATCTTCAGTGTGTGGACATCAGTATGTTTCATCTCTATAGCACTTACGTCATTTCCTTTGGCAAGTGAGCGAGAAGCCTTGATTCTCGAAGCATGCCAATTGTAGATCGCCAGTGGTGATTCTCCAGCACAGACATATTCTAGAAGGAAAAGAAAAGAAAAGCTATAAATGGAGGGGAAGCCAGATACTGATCTTTCATGCTGAACACAGCTCCCTGGAGGCAAGATTTTCCCTCCAGGTACCTGATGACACAGAGGTAGACCAGAAAGAAACACTAAATAAAATAATGACAAGGCCTGTTGTCAAGGCTATAATGACCCTTGCTGACACTCCACTGCGAGTTGAATGAGGGCCCAGTTCCAACATCATTCACTCCTACTTCTACTCCTGTTTTCAGGAGTTTCATCTGGCAATACTAAGTATAAAAGAAAAAAAGTGAAGCAGGTAAAAATAGGTGGTGGTGGTGGTTGTTATGTGCCGTTGAGTTGGCCCCGACTCATAGCTTCCTCTTGTTGGGTTTCCAAGGCAGTATCACTATGGAAGTAGATTGCCCAACCTTTCTTCCGAAGAGTGGCTGGTGGGTTTGAACTGCCAGCCTTCTGGTTAGCCGTCATAAAAATAGGTCTTTATAAGTAATTAATACCATGGGGCAATATTCAGAAGTGGGAGCTCTGGTAGCATAGTGCCTAAGTCACTTGACTGCTAACCAGAAGGCTGGTAGTTCAAACCCACCTGCCACTCCTTGGAAGGGAAATGGGGCAATCTACTTCCGTAGTGATACTGCCTCGGAAACCCAAGGCAGGGTCGCTATGAGTCGGGTCCGACTCGACGGCTCATAACAACAAGAACAAAGTATTCAGAAGCGGGGGAGCAGTGGTGGTTCTGTGGTAGAATTCTCACCTTCCATTTAGGAGAACCGAGTTTGATTCCTGGTCAATGCGCCTCATGAATAGCCATCACCTGAATCAGTGGAGGCTTGTGTGGTGTGCTCTGATTCTATGCAGGTTTCAGTGGTGTTTTCAGACTAAGATAGACTAGGAAGGAAGGCTTGGTGATCTGCTTCCAAATATCAGCCCCTGCAAACCTGATGGATCTCAGTTGTTTGCTCTCCAACCAATTATGGGAATGGTACAGAGCAGGGCACTGTTTCATTCGGTTGTGTGTAGGGTTGCCATGAGTTGTGGGCTAACTTGATGGCAGCTTACAACAATAATGTTCATAACATCATCCGAGATTATTCTAACAAATGGAACAGAGACAGAGATTACCACCTCTGGTCTGATTCATTGCACTGACCATTGTTTCTCAACACCGATAAAAACTCCTGCCTCTGAATCACCTGGGCAGTTAGTAACACAGTCAGACTTCTGAGTTCCAGTCCGTACAGTTTGGATTCAGTAGGTCTGTGGTGATTCGTTCTCATGCACACTACAGTTTGAAAACCATTGCTATGGAAGCAACTGTCCATAACCTTCTTGATCTAGGCACTGACATTTAGCTCTTTAGGTCTAAGCAATCTGTAATTATTTCTTTGTTCAGTTGTCCTGATATTTGTTCCCTTGCAGGAATCTCTGCTATGGCCAATCTCTCCTTTGATCTTAGTGTTATTCTAAATATGCTTGTTATCTGAAAATTTAGCTGACCATTTAAAGAATGAATATTTATGATAAGTCATTTTTTCCCCAACTAACAAGTATTTCAGGCTTACCACTGACTTCATAAATACAGAATAAACAAAAAACAAACCAATTGCTCAAGTATCAGAATAGAACTGTTGTTAGGGTTTTCAGTGGTTATGACCTTTTGGAAGCAGATTATCAGGCTTTTCTTCTGAGGCATTTCTGGGTGGCTTAGAACCAGCGACCTTTCAGTTAGCAGTCAAGTGCTTAACCCTATAGCCCCCAGGAAATCTTTTTGCTTGATTTTCTTGTTTATTTATTCATTCTCCATCTTGATTCAGGAAGGATTACAAGCTTACAAAAACATACAAGATATAGTAGTCATTGAAAGTGAGGGGAAAGAAGCAAGGAAAATAATATGGAGAGCAAATGGAACCAGAAATGAGACCAAAATTCATAGCATCATTATTCCCCTACTACATTTGAGCCATTCACACAACACTTGACTTTTTTAGGAAATGAGAAAAGAGAGCTCATGTGAGTGACACAATCCAGGGTCCAGGAGGGAAACACAAGCTCAAGAAAATGGCAACTATTCTTGATTCTAAAATCAGACAGTGATTTCTTCTCCAGGACTTTGCATGGTGAGTTTCTTAGGGCTGGATGTTTTTTTTTTTTTAATTAGGATTTGGGTGAAGATTTACAGAGTAAATTCACTTTTCATACAGCAGTTCACATATACTTTGTCTCATGTCATTGACCAAAATTTACAATGCAGCAGTTGCCCTCCCACTTCCTCCCCATAGTTACCTCCTCCCAGTGTCCATCCCTTCATACTTTTCTGCCCCCTGAGCTATCTCCCTGTGCATAAGCAGCCCTTCCTTCTCCCATGATTGTTCTCTCCAGGGCGTGTGTCTACTTGAGGTAAATGTTTAACTCACATGCCTGTACTTTGTTTGGCTGGAAACCACAGTTGTGGGTTCAATTCCAGACCTGAAGGGCAGCTAGGGGCCATAGTCTCAGTGGTTACACCAGGCTCTATTGGACCAGCAAACCTGGTCCCCACCTTCTTTTTTTTTTGTTAGGGCTGAATCTTATTTTCACCCTTTGTATAGGCTTTTACATTGCTGTTCATTTCTCCCATTGCCAAAGATTTATTATTCTTTATTCATCACTTGACTGTGTTTGAACTAGTGATGAGATTTCATTACTTTCATCAACTTGCCTATTATCTCCTTCTGGGCATGAGCCACATACAACAAAAGAGAATGTTTATTAGAAATCATATGCCAGACTAATTTGTTTTGATCATAAAGATTTATAAAAGCAGGGAGTGATAGGTTAGTGTGATGAACAGATGCTCTATCCTGCGATGACATTTAATGCAATCACTCATGAGAGTTCACTAGCAAGACAAATTTAAATAAATGTGGACATGAGTTCTCTCGTGTGAGTTTTTAAAAGGCCCAGAACGCTGTTAAGAAGACCTAATGACAAACGACACCATATCCTTGTTGAATGGAGTGCCTTGAGCGTTGTTATTTATGCCAGTCTGACTTAACATCTCCATTAATAATCTCCCTGAAGACAGAATAAAAGGATACTTGGGAAATCTGCTGGTGAAACCATATTTAGGGATGAGCACCAGGAGAATGGAAGGAAATTGAGTGGGCATGGAAGCTGGCACAGAATAAAAGACATAGGTCATACACCTGCACTCCACTCCCTGCCTTGCACAGAATAAGTGCTTGCTATCAATTTGCTAAATAAGTAGCCAAACAAATTACTTGAATTAATCCAACAAGTATATTGAGCATTTGCTATGTTGCAGACACTGTAGTACATGCTTGGAATATATCAGTCAACAAAACAGACAGGGAGCTGGGGTGGTAGGAGTGGGCAGAGACAAAAAGTATGCATTAAACTGAATAAATAAGTCTGAAAATGGTATAGCATGTCAGAAGATGATAAGTATATGGAACAAAGAAAAGCAGAGCAGAGTGTCTGGGGTAGAGGCGGGTAGGGTAGTCAGAGGGAGAGGTGAGATTTGAACAAAGACTTGGAGGTGGGTGGAGTCAGCCAGTTAGCCATGCTGATATCTGGGAGAAGAGTGTTCCTAACAGAGGAAATAGCTGGGGCGAAGGACTCAAGGTGAGAATAAATAGCCAGGATGTCAATGTACCACGAGACAGGAGAAAATAGTAGTTAGAGAGACAAAAATAGTAATTAGAGAGACAATGAATGACTGATTCTGTATGGCATCCAGGCCATTATAAGGATTGTGGCTTTTACTGTGAGTGAAATAAGGAGTCACTCCATTGGACTAGGAGGAATGAAATTATATGGTTTCCATGTTAAAAAGATCATTTTGGCGGAAATATTGAAAATAGAATTTAATGGAGGTAAGAATGGAAGTAGAAGTACAAGTTGGCTTGGAGACAATAACAATCAAGAGACGATGGAGGCTTGGACCAAGGAGGTGGCAGTGGAGGTGGTGAAGGGTAGTTGGTTTCTGGATCTGCCAGGATGACTCCAATGTTTCTGGTCTGAGCATCTGAAAGAATGGGGTATCCATTAACTATGATGGGGAGCAAACCTGCTGCAGGTAGAGCAAGTTTAGAGGAGTTCAGGGTTGGCCATGCTGAGTTTGAGACATCCATTAGACATCACAGTGGAGATATCAGATAACCAACACAGTAATAACAGAAGAAAAGGAAAACAGAATAGTTGCATAAGTGTTGTAGTAATTCATGGGTAGGAGAGAGAATGTTACATAAAGGGAAGGATTAAGTAGAGTAAATCATTTTGATGTCAGGTTTAAGATTTAGCATCAAGTTTGGCGGAAACCTCTGTGCATCCCTCAAGTCCATTTTCCTCTCTTCCTTATTCACAGAACCTCAGATTTTAGATGGCCCTAGGGCTGTTCAGAATAAGGACATTTCCCTGCTTCCTTTGCAACTAGGTAGGATTATTTGGCTATGTTAACCAATTAATATAGAAGTGCTATATAGGATTTTCAGGAAGATTTTTTTAAGAGAACTGACTCATCTGGGAGAAGCCTCTTCTTTCTTCCTTTTCACTGTTTGAGGAAGTCAAGATGGAATGGCAGACCTCCAGCAGCTATCTTGGGCGATGAGGACAAATGTCACACCTTAGTAATGCAAGTTGTTGAACTGAAAGGCTGCTGTGCCCCTGATGACTTATTGGAACCACGGTGACTGCTCTGGACTACCAGCATCCAAATTTCTTTTATGAAGCATAGAAGTAAACTCCTGTCCTGTTTAACTTACTGATAAAACCCCAAAACAAACCCACTGCTGTCAAGTTGATTCTGATTCTTAGCCACCCTGTAGGACATAGTAGAACTGTTCTGTAAGATTCCCAGGGCTATAATCTTCACAGAACAGACTACCACATCTTTCTCCCGCAGAGCAGCTGGTCAGTTCAAACTGTTGACTCTTCAGTTAACAGTCAAGTGCTTTAACCACCGTGCCATTGCTGTTATGTGCCGTCGAGTCGG